AATTCTATCATGGAGTATACAAAATGATCCTTAAAATTAAATTGGATCCAGGTTTAGAAAAACGAACTAATCCATATTAATACGTATCAACGTATTAATATGTCATGTATCAGTTTCTTAAGTTATCCATTAAACAGTTAAATTCTATCATGGAGTATACAAAATGACCGTTAAAATTAAATTTGATTAAAAATTGTCAGAAGTGCCTAAACACGGCGTGCTGCGACGCATTTAAGAAAATTCCGGGTATTCGAACTCTCGGAAACCCTGGAAGGGAATCCGGTAAGCACATTACTGAAAACTCTATTTAGACTTTCGAGGTTACTCTTTTTTTAGAGTGTGTCATGCATCGCTCAACCAAGACAAGATATTCTGCTATTGTATTTCTATTGTTCATTGGCTTACTTTTGGATCAAAACGTAGTTGTGCAGGCGTGTTCAGTAATCCGGATAAGCCCACCGGAAGAACTGGTCGCGAAAGCTGATGTGATTGTCCGTGCAAGTGCTGCCAGCTATCATGAGATCATTCTAATGACTTTAATTTCTTATTGCTGGAAAAAAATAGAATATTCCTGACATAAAAAAGATCTTTTCAGCTATCTAATAATAGTTTGTTCTTGCCTTTGAGCGTTTCTTGTACTTCAAACTTAACTATCGAAGTTGAAATTCCAGTCGAGTATGCTTCTTCCGCTGGCTCTTTCTCGTAGCTGTCAGCACTTGCACGGACAATCACATCAGCTTTCGCGACCAGTTCTTCGGGTGGGCTTATCCGGATTACTGAACACGCCTGCACAACCACGTTTTGATCCAAAAGTAAGCCAATGAACAATAGAAATACGATAGCAGAATATCTTGTCTTGGCTGGGCGATGCATGACACACTTTAAGAAAAGAGTAACCTCGAAAATCTAAATAGAGTTTTCAGTAATGTGCTTACCGGATTCCCTTCTAGGGTTTCCGAGAGTTCGAATACCCGGAATTTTCTTAAATGCGTCGCAGCACGCCGTGTTTAGGCGCTTTTGACAGTTTTTAATCAAAAACACGCGTCTTAACTCAACTTTTTATGCAATAATGATACTTTTATTCCATAAAAAGGGAGTCAAAACAAACTAAACAATGTGGTACTTTGGACTGCTTTTGTTTCCAGAAGGTTTTTAAATTTTTTATGGAATACGAAAATAAATGGTTTTACTTACTTTCTCTGTATAAAATATCGGAACGGCGACTTAGTTGTACTAGAAATGACGAAAATAGTATATCTGAGAAATTAAGAATTATTGTGATTTAAAATCAAGAATTGCCGATGTATATATATATATATCACAGTTTTATTCTAGGGAAGAGTTCAGCTATCCATATCGTATCACTCTTTTTTGCATCTAAAGAATAGCTATCATTAATTATACACGGTCTATCAACGATTTCTCTCTATAACGGACAAAAGAAGAAAGTCAGCTTGCTCTCCAGTATTGATCGATCAAATATATAAGATGAATGAATAAATGACTGTGACTCCTCGTATGCTGGCCTATAGAACAGGGTTATACGCAATAGACGTGAGTGAGTGAATAAAGTGACTACTCGTATGCTCCTTTGTAAGTCACAGTGACTCGAGTATTCAACCGTGTAAAAGCTTTTAAAAACCAGCTTCGTTTTATTTAACCAATAAAACAAACTAACAATTTAGAAAAAAACCAAAAAGATACCAGAAAGGTTACAATTCATTTATTTTTCCCTTGGTCGTTGACGTTTCGGTGGTCGACGGTCTTGTTAGAGATTCATAGAGATATTTCAACTAGTTGCAATAAAAATAAAGATAATAACTTGCAGCAATTTTTATTTTCTAAACCCGCTGCTACCTTCTCACGACATGAAAAAAGTATTTTGAAAAATTAAAAAATACATTTTTTTAATCAGTTCGCTGAGCTCTATCCATCGATGTATAATAAATTTAAAAAATATCCCCATGTCTTTTCACGGACTTTCGTGGAAACTTTGGCTAGTTTTTCGATAATATTCATCATAATTAAATTCACATCAATTGCCGTAGGAGGAATGGGAACATCAGTTCTAATTTGTGGTCGAGGGTATCGGTGCCACAGACTGTACTACTGTTGTTTGTTCATCTAACGATGAATATGCTCTTGTTGTCCTCTTGTTGAAACTTCGTTATTTGATTTTGATTTCAAGTTATCAATGGCAGATGTTGATGACAATGGATCTTCACGTGGCATCGGTGCTTCATTTGTATTTGCTTGTGTTCGTTGTTGAATATTTGAGTGATCACTTTCAATAAGTAAACATTCGTCTTGAATATTCAACCACTTATCTTCAATATTTGAACGTTCTTCTCTGTTAGGTGGTTCTTCTGGTGACACTGCTACTGCTACTGTTGATTGTTGTACCGGTAAATTTGTTGTGTTATTTGAGATGGCAGTCGAATAGGCGTTTGTGTTGGTGTTCGAATACAATTTTGAATCTGATGTCGCATGTCATGTCGAATCCTGGGTTGAAACGAAGGTCGAAATGGGGGAGGTACATGATTTTGTGGTATCGATTGTACAATGTTTGTGTTCTGAAAATAAATGATTCGTTTGCTGGTGCATAAATTAACAGTAAGCTGGTCGATGTTTGCTATACTGTCCAACAACTTTTAACTACTATGAATTTCAACCAAGCGGATTTTTTCTTATGCGAAGGTGTTAGCATTGCAAACTTTTTCGAGAACTGTTACACTTTAGCATCTTGACAATACGTCGCATCATTCTTTTTGGTTGCATATACTTGAGAAAGTGGCTGTCGCGGTTTTTGTTGTTCTCGCTCTTGTATCATTAATTGAAGTAATGTTTCAACATTCATATCTCTATCTTCTGCAGCCGATGATACATAATAAGTATTTTCATCGGCATAAGTCAGATAATCTTCTGTATCGTATGGTTGTTGTGTAGATGTCAATGCATCATTTAAACGAGTTCGTCCAACACTAAAAATACAATGCGAGAAAGGTATGAGTAAAAAGTTGAACACGTTTTAATAAAGACAAGTACCTTCGTGCAGCTGCTGTTAATATTCCATTGACACGTTTCGCAGCACTTTGTGTTGTTAATGATAAATAATGAAATCAGATATTGCCATGTCCACCTCTCATAATTGATTCACCGATTTGTTTGGGAGCTACTGTTCCTTGATCAGACAAATCAGTCACCAAATTGATTTCTAATGCCGATGTTTTCAAATAACTACGTTTCTTTCTTTCCGTACTAGTATTCATCTTTACTATTCTCTAAAAGAAATCTTCAACACGTATCACACTGTCATAACCTGTTTTTTTCAACTATATTTCGGATATTTATGCTAAGAGACTCTAGATGGATTTAACTAATAATATACAAAACCTCGTCGTTATTCAACATAGTATTCGTATACTGACATTCCGCGCTGCTATTCTGGACGTTTTGGCTCTATTAGTCCGTCAAATAGAAGCTGATCAGCATGAACACTTCAACATAATACTAAATCAACTTCAGTATTTTTTGAATTTTGTTCCACAACTACCTCAATTGACGATGTACTATATCACGATGCCAATGGATCAGTATGAACGCCGATCGTTAAGTGATCTGTCGCTGAACTCGGTCCTACGCCAAGGAGATTTTGTGATCTAACTGGAATACCCCTCGAAGCATTTCGAGACATTTATCCAACATTTGTCCAATGTAGTTTACGGAAAATGAATTTATTGAAGAGAAGAATTAACACAAACCGTATCGACGCAAATGTGCTGCTTCTCCTGTTGATTTGGCTTAGAACTTATTCCACGTATCCTTTATTAAGTTTAATGTTTGGAGTGTCAAGAGTGAAAATATCTAGATTTAGAATATTCTTTCTACCGGTTTTAGTACAAGCATTAAATTCGATGATAGTATGGCCGAATTACGCCATAAGTATGGAACGAATTAATATTATGGAATCCCGTACTTGGACGATATGTCGGTTATGTTGACGGAATAAGACACAGAATTCAACGACTCGGTAACTTCATTTTTTCTAAAAAATACATCTAACGGGCCGTGTGGCACGGCACGTATATGAAAAAGATGTATCAGAATATCCTTGCTTAAAAAAAAGCTTCTGTACAACAACAGCAAGCAGAACAATTTGCGGTTTTCTGCCGTTCTTACATTCGTGTTTGTCTGTCTAGGTCGTCATCAGCGGCTGTATTATACTGGAAAAAACAAAAATCATTGTTTAGGAACTATAATCATCGTATCAACCAATCGAAAATTCATCTTTTTTAAATCGTGTTACATTGGCTGAGTTCACGACAGTGTGACGCTTCGTCATAATGGCGTACCTCCAATCCCACCACACACAAGGCTACTTTGCGACAAAGGACTTGCCAATGGTGCCAGTCTATTAACACCAGTCCGTCGAAACGAAATGCGACAGTTCCCAGCGTCATTCAAAAACTTATTTAACTATCATCTTTCACAAAAACGCATATTTGTCGAACATTTAATCAAAGAGGTGAAAATTTTTAAAGCTGTCAATGGAGTCTAAAGAGATAGTCATGCGTTGTGGGGTGGTGTAAGTCTCTGCGCAGCATATCTTGCAAGTATCAGAGCGCACATTTTTTTATCTTAAAACTGAATGATGCTTTTATTCTGTATTAATTAAAAACTGAACTCTTGTAAGACGTTCTGGTATTTCTTTTGCAGGGCGGCTATTTCATTGTTTGTAAACAAATCGTTGTTGTAAAAAGGATGAGTAATGATAGCCCTGAAAGTCAGTATCTAACATTTTCGAAGTTGAAAAACATAACTAGAAGATCATCTTACACCAAGCAAGTTGTGTTCTACATAAAACATTAGATTTGTTTCTGACTTCTATTAAAATGTTATTACATTTATAGAGGGAAACAAACAACTTTTATTCAGAACAACATAGAAAATCAAAACATTTCTTTTATTTCGACACAATAAAATAAAAAAGACAAACACTATGCAAAATAGTTACAAAAGGGAGTAAGGATGGGATAGTTCCAGTTCCGTTCTTTTGAACGGGAACTGGTCACCAGTTCTTTTCAAAAGAACGCGAACTACGACCAGTTCTTTTCAAAAGAACTGGAACTGGTTACCAGTTCTTGCAGCATAGGAGCTGTTAGTTATTGTTCATTATATAATTTGTAAACAAATTGATTAGAAAAGTTAATAAGCTTAATTCTCTATGACGTAAACTTGCTTACGCATTAGGAAGATAAGCTTGCGACTGTTAACTTCTTATTCAATCGAGAAAGTCTTTAGTTGTGGCATCTGCACGCGAGCTAGTTGCTACAATGATGATACAG